ATATTCATAGGAATATCGTACGCAACCTACGTAGAATCTATGCATGTTCGTAGGTTAACCATCAAACATACGAGAGTCCGTGTTATCAAGTTACGAACTCGTTAATACAGGCATTTTGAAACTCCGTATATTCATGGAATACTTAACATGTAATCATAAACGTTCGTTTCAAAAGAAAAATCCCAACGTATTGATGATAACCAAACAGTCAAAATGGGAATCAGCGTGCCTTGATAATCGATTTACAGAACGGAATAATCGACTATCAGGTCACGCTGAACTCCTCAGTTGATCCAGCATAGTGTGACAATCGATTATCACATAAGTGGTAATCGATTATCAGACCCTGCGGATTCTTGAGTTAGAGCTGGTTCACTTGACAATCGATTATCACAGAGCAATAGTCGATTATCCAATCTCTCTGAACTTAGGACTTTTCTGATAAACCAACTTGACAATCGATTGTCATAGGGTGACAATCGATTATCACAGTCTGCAGGACTTTGGGGACAGAAGCTGCACAGCATGATAATCGATTATCAACAGCAGATAATCGATTATCAGCCAGTTCTGAACCCAGGGCCATCATGTTAAACAAATCATAATCAAGCACACATGTAAGAATTGAATTTAACTCTTTTCTTTAATCAATGCATTCATTCCATCATGTTCGTTCTAGACGGATGTTCTAGGTTTCCATCATATGCATACCGCTGTAGGGAGGACTTCAAGCGCCTACTACAGTGGGCCCGTCCAGGAACCTTTGGGGACCAGCGGGTTTTCATCATGTTGGGCTTGTGTACGTACATAGTAGTCAGGTTACGGATACTACCCGGTTTTGCTAGTCCACTCGCGATGTTTTCATCGTGCCCGGCTCGTTACCGTTCGGGGACATTGACCGGAGTGCAGGGGTGATCCTGTCGAGTAAGACTAAGCCAGGGGTGTCCCTGATAGTTTAAGTCATGCATTAAGTCATATCATCATCATTATGTTCCTTGTTATTCGAAACAGCTTTAACAGGTGAAAACTAAACAGTTAGTAACGTGTGGTGTCCCGTACGTTAAGTACAGGTATTGATATGGGTATAGCCATATGGGTTATCACTTCATGTTCTTTTGTTAGATTCACTCCTCAGCTTTTGCTGAGCGTGTAGTTGTTTTTGCTACACGCAGGTAGCCATGACGGAGCAGGTGCCAACCCCGGAGAGCCGTGACGATGGGGAGATGGGCGGCGCACGGACGAACTCTTAATTACTTTCAATAACTTCAATAATCAATTGGGCATGAACCCACCCTTGTCGTTATGTAGTTTGGACTGAACTTATTTAATTACTTCCGCGATTACTCTGCACTTTTATTACACACGTTTTGGGGAGTAACTCCCTGGCATTTATTCCTTTAATTAAAACCCAACCGTTTCCTTATTAAATAATCATTAATGTTTTCGTAACGGATGGTTCTCGGACTGTCCATGTAACCCTACCGGTCTGTTGGGTCGCGGGTGAACCGGGTCCACGGAAGGCGGGTGTTACATTAGTATTGTTGAGTCGGTCACAATTGTGATCAAGACCGACCCAAACCTCACGCCTTGGCTCTTTAGGCTAAAATCTATTTTTGCATTTATAATATGATAAAAATGTTTTTCAAACTTGTTCAAGACATTAAAAACACTTGGTGTTCGCCCAAACCAAAAACCAAGCCATCCGGCGTTCGGCTTTCAGAAACTGGCGTTCGGCATTCGGTTTTCGGTGTTGGTTTTTGGCATCTGAACCAACCAAGTGATTTTCAACATTTTATGTGTTTTTTACTTTTTGGAATGTTTAAACAGTTCTCCAACGAAAACATCTTAAAAACCACCTTTCGGTTTTGGCCGTTTGGCAAAAACCACGTAAAACGGCATAAACTTGGCTAGCCGTAGTTTTTACCCAAATGACGTGGTTTTTAAAATGTCTCACTTGATTTCTTAGCCAAATACATCAAATAAGTGTTTTAAACACTGGCTTTTTATTTTGGAGAACTTTGGATTTTTCGGTCGGTTTTTGCATCAGTTGGCTAGGCCGTGGTTAAGGCAAAAACCATAGGTTTTTGGCCAACCACCCACCCAGCGATGGGAAGAACTTCCCATCGATGGGCAAGCGGTCCCTTAGCCAAACCAACTTCCAGAACCATGCCAAACAGCGATGGGAAGTTCTACCCATCGCTGTTTAAGCCTTGGTCCAACATTTTCACAAGGCAGAATGCCCTTACCCAGCGATGGGAACCTTTACCCATCGATGGGAACCCAGCGATGGGAGGGCATACCCATGGCTGGTTAGGCATGACCGTTGGAAGTCATTTAAGGTTGGTTCTTTCCTTGTTTGGAAGTCAACCTCCCATCCAGCGATGGGAAGCATGTACGCATTGATGGGTAGGTAACCGTTGGCTTCAAAACTAAAGGAAAATTGGCTTACCAGCGATGTGTAAGTTCCAAACATCGATGGGAAGCCAATATCCTGCAGATCCCAAATTTATTCAATCCCTTAAATCAAGCCAATCACCCCTTTAACGCATTGGTCCGTTGGAGCCTATTTTGGCACTATAAAAAGGGGTGTTTGGGTCTGCTTTTCTCATCAATTCACTTCACAATATTCATATTTTCATTGCATTCAAACAAAATTCTTTTCCATAGCTTTTTAGAGCCATTTTGTGTGAAGGTTGAGTTGTTCTTGAGCGTACTTAGTTTACTCATCATCTACTCTATAAGAGAGTCTCGTTCTTGAGTGAAATTGTGTTCTTATACACATTGAGAGAAAGTATTTCTCTCGTTTGATTCAAAGGAAGGGTTGTTTCCTTTGAAGAATTCGTTGAGGTTCGTGTGACTCGAACTCTCAAGTTGTAAGAGTTTGTTAAGCACCGTTAAGGTTAACGAGATAGTAGTGTAGCTCGAGAGAGTCTCTCGGGAGGCTGGATTAGCCACAAGTTTTGGTGAACCAGGGTAAAATTCGGTGTGCCCCTTACTCTTCTCTTTACTTATCTTTTAATTTTTAATTCTTGCGATTTCTTTGATCAAACGCTATTCACCCCCCCCCCCTCTAGCGTTGGTCTATTATTCTAACAGTAGTGCTCAATAAATTACTCAAAAGAGAGATGATCTCAAGAGTCTTGTTAAATCTCACTTCAATCTTATCTAACTCTTCCCTAAATGAGGCTTTTTGAGACTCTAGGGCTGATTCAACCAGTCCTTGAACCTTTCTGGTCTAGGATTCTAGCATCTCATCCAGAAGATTATATATGGAAGAGCTGTGAAAGTGGAAGTTTGTTACCTGATGGGATGGGGGTACACTGTGATAGACTTGTAGAGGGAGAGATTCAGATTCTTCTCCTTCTTCAGCTTCTTCTTCACTGATTTTCAAGGTCTTCACAGATTCTTCCTCAGCTTCTTCATCCCTGTAGTTTGAGATCTCCTGAGAAATTGGATCTCTCACTACTTCAGCATTTTGTTGCTCAAAGATAGCAATAGGAGTTTCAGAAGCCTCTAGTCTAGCTATCTGAGCATCTTCAGCAACTTCTTCAAGGCTCCTTTGTGCTTCCACTTCTGGTTCTTCTTGAGCTTCTTCTTCTGTTGCATTTGGAGGAGTGGACTTCTCCAAATATTCTACTGACTTTTCTGGAATTTCAAGTTTAGCCTGATTGGAGATCTCACAGGTGGTTGTGAGGATCTCTTGAACTTGAAATGAGAGGGAATGCAGAATTTCTTCTTCTGCTACAACTTCACTCTGTTCTTCATGCTGGAGAGTGGTTGCATTCTCTTGGACAGTTTCAACAAGAACAGTTTCAAAAGCAGGGGAGGTTTCAGGAAAAATTGAGAAATCTTCTGCTTCAGCTTCCAGGTCTGCTTGTGCTTCTGCAGTGATGCTTTCAGCCTAGTTTTCAATTTGATTTTCAGATGGAATGGAGAAGATGGGTTTGTAGACGGCTATATCTTCGTCATCAACCTCAAATGTTTGTGAAGTTGACAGGTGTTCCAGCTGTAGACCTTCATTGGTTTTCCAGAAGATCCAATCTTCATTTAGGAGTTCTTCACATGAGGCGTTAGTGGCCAGTCCAAGGCATCTATTGATGGTTTTCGCATGCTCAAACTGGTCCCAATCATTCAGCTGATCCTCTGAGTTTCCAACCTTCTAATCTCTCCCTTCAGAGTACATTCGGATGAATTCATCCAATCTTTTATCAGAGAGCTGTTGGGTGGAAGAGGTTGGGAGACTTTGTTCTTGAAGTGTTTCCTCATCAAGATTCTAAGGACTGTCTTGTGGATGGTTCTGCTGTGACATCTCCGAGCTGAGACTTTTCTGTTCAAGGAGATTTTTCTGTTCTTCCTCTTTTGAAGCTCTTCTTGAGCTGAGACTTCTTCCTCATCCAGATTGACCATTCCAAGGTCTTGTAATTCTTCAGCACTGGGGGAACGAGATACCACTTGCTTTCTTTTTGAAGATTTCTTCAGGCTTACAATTAGAACTTCATCTGAAGATCCTTCTTCTTCAGCAACAGAGCCGGCTCTGTTTTCTCCTTTGGTTGACAGCTAGTACAACCAATATCTAGCTTCATATTTCTTGCCTTTAGAGGCAATGTCCATAGACTCCAGTATATACCCAATATATAATCCTTGACAGAGGAATTTCTGCCTAGGCTTGCCTATGTGCTTGGAAATGGAATTGAAGATGTGTTTAACCCAATTTATCTTTGTTTTGGTAATGAGAGAATTGATGATGAAAGCTCTTTCTTAATTTATGTCATCTGCATGTTCTCCACTTCCACATTCTAGACATGCGATGACAAGCTCCAAAATTAGCTTGTAGTCATTCTTCAAGTCTGCTTTCTTTGCTGCACCAGTGGGAGCTTTTCCAGAAATCCCAATTTCGCTCCAGTCCAGAGCCTTGGGAGAGAGCTTCCCAACATCAATTCCAGAATTGGGAAGATAGAGTTTAGTTCGCAACTTCTTCTGTGAAATCTTTACCTCTGTTCCTCCAACAGTTGATTCGATAATTTGAATCGACCTTTGTGGATTCTTCTTTGATTGGATAGTCTTGATTTCTCCATTTCTGTAGAATTCCAGAACCTTTTCTTCATATTTGGAGAGAATCTCTAGATGAAGAAATTCCGAGAGTTCTTGTGCTTCAATCATCTCCAGATATGCTTCGCAGAATGCCGATGAAGAGCATTTAGCTTCCAATTTCTTGAAATGGACATTTGCGCCTCCAACCTTCATTTTTCTGTATTTTGTGAGAGAATTCAAATAAATTAGGGTTCTTCTGTGATTTCTCGCGAGGAAGACGAAAAAGAATTGAGTGGGCTGAGTGGGTAGTTGAGATCTGAATATAGTGGCGATTGGGTTTTAATTTGGGCGATTTATGCGGCTAGTGGCGATTGGGTTTTCAACTGTTCTCAAGGCCACGTGCCCATGCGTTGCTTTATCAGACGTGGATGTGGGCTGCCATGTGTACCGCACTTAGTCTAATTGAATTAGACCAATTTTGTGAAGCAATTTGGAAAACCTGGCTTCACTTACTGGTTTAGAGAAGATATCCTCCAATTGTTTCTCAATTGAGATGTACTCAATTCTGATGTCCTTCTTCTCAACACGATCTCTGATGAAGTGGTGTTTGACATTAATGTGCTTAGTGCGAGAGTGATGCACTGGATTTTGTGAAATGGCTATAGCACTTTGATTGTCACAAAATATTGTCACCTCTTTCGTTTTGACTCCATAATCCAGTAGTTGTTGCTTTAACCACAAGATCTGAGCACAACAACTACCAGCAGCAATGTACTCTGCTTCTGCTATAGATGTAGAGATTGAGTTTTGTTTCTTACTGAACCAAGAAACAAGATTTCCGCCAATGAATTGACAAGTGCCAGAGGTACTCTTCTGGTCAACTTTGCATCCGACAAAGTCAGAATCTGAGTATCCCACTAACTCAAATGAGCTACTCTTAGCATACCATAAACCCATGTTTTGAGTTCCTTTAAGGTATCTAAGAATCCTTTTGGCTGCTATTAGGTGGCTTTCCTTTTGCTTCTTCAGTCTTCCATGGATGGATAATCTATCCGTTGAAAGGAATAGACTATCCGTTGCATTTGCTGGCTTTAATTTGAATGAAGAGGGAGATTGATGGTTCTCCTTGAGATGGGTGTTTGGACATACCCAATTGTTTGAGGAGGGATTCCTTTTCCACAAAATTCGTCCTTTAGCTGTTGTTCAAGAATTCTGGACTATAGCTCTTTATTGAGTGGAGTACCGAATTTGTCTTTTTGTGTTTGTTCAAGAATTCTGGCTAATATCTTCAATTTAGGGAGTCCAGATTTCGTCTTCTTGTCATTTGTTCTTGAATCAATTTAATTATCCTCAATCTAGCCGTTGAAAATCAAGGATTTGATTTTTCCTTACCAACAGGTAGAATTTCTCCATTCATGACTTAGATGAATTTCCCAGTCTTTTCTCACTAGTCTGCTTCTGAGAGTTCTGGTCTTCCTTGAGACATCCGGTTCTTAACTGACAGTTCCAGATTAGTCATTCTTAGACTTTTGGGTGAGAAAGAGATCTGCGCTAGTATTCCGATCCGGATGACTTAGTCTTCAGCGGGTTGTAGCAAGACTTCCGGGTATCCTAGAGCATTCCGATTTTTGAGAATTCCAAAGTAAACAACTGCTTTGAGAATTCCTTACTTGTCTCTGACCTTTCCGAGCAAGAATTCCAATTTCCATATCACTGAGTTAAGTCTTCAAAGAGTGACATCAAACCACAAAGTGAAATATCACAAGTTTTATTGGAAATCTCAAGAACTTGGTTTTAACAAAATTTCTAAAAAGAAAATTACATTGAATATTGGGGGTGACCTAAAGTCCCTATTACAATCTAAATACATCATCATCAAAATCTATAATTTTTCCCAACAAGTTTTCACTTCAAACGCATTACATATGGACATGTAGGATTAGATGAGAGCTGGTTCTCAACCTAATGATTAGAGAATGGCACATTAAAAGACTTAAAACCTGGAAGAGGGGCCCTGGAAGAAGGCTAGACCTTGGAGATGATTCGCGATCATAGGACATGGTCAAAATCTCTGAAGAAAAATCTGGTCTTGATGTTGAGACTTAAGACGAAACCGTTTCGAAATATTTATTCGAAGTTCGATCAAGGTTGGTATTGAACATAACATGCAGGCTAGATTGATATAAGAAAAAGGGCATGGTCAAAAAGTGACCGGTCACTTTTTGAATGTTCAGGATTGGCCAGAAAGAGACGGACGGAAAAATTTTAAAATTGACCGGTCAACTTTGAGAAAAAGTGACCGGTCACTTTTTAATAGTTGGATTTGAGGAAATCATATAAGCCTGGAAAAATTTGTTTTTGACCGGTCACATTTTGATCCGGCACCTGGACATAAATTTGAGGCAAGATTGGTGACGTAACATGACCAAACCATTGGAAGTGGATCAGGACAAACTCAACCTAGACGTTTGTTACTTTTCAACCTAGAAGTAAACCGGTTCAGAAGACAAGTCAAGCATGAAATGCCATGGACATTTTATGGAGTTGATGAGAATAAGAGTTTAAACTTGGACGTTTTTGCATTTGACCAAGACATGAGATGACCTAGACGTTTTCAAGTCAAGCACAAGATGCCCAGCCGTTTCATGGAGTTGATGAGAATAAAGGTTTAGACCTGGACTTTTCGGAGACTTTCTAGACCTGGACGTTTTCAACAAAGCCTACAAAACTTGGACGTTTTCAGGACTTGAATTTGACCAGCACATGAGATGACTTGGACATTCTTAAAATTTTTCCTAAGGACATGAAATGACCTGGACACTCTTAAAATATTTCCTAAGGTAGAAGGCCGGGCATGTTCAAGAAAAAGTAAGTCTTACCATGCAACTTCAAGTGGGGACCGGGCAAGAAAACTACCATCCAAGAAAAGAATTCAACCATGCAAATTTAAAGGAAACAAGACCAGGCAAATTGAAAGAAATGCAAACTGGGCAGTATCATACAACGAGTAAAATCAGGCCGAACATCCCCCAGGCCTTGAGAAGATTATCAAAGTGTTTCAAAGTCAAACCCTGACATATTCTAAAGGGAAAGGGGGAGAAGGATCTTGAAAAAATATTGCTTTAAATTTTATTTAGAATCGACAAAAAATTTTGTTCCACCCGTGCATGGCACGGATTCAAATACTAGTATTCTGAAACATCTCACTCAAAATAAAATGTTATACTAATAGTACTCCATAAAATACAATGTACTAGTAATAGTCTATCACTTTATTATGCAACAAAAATATGTTTTATATATATATATATATCTAATAAAATTATTTTTACACTAATATACATTACAACTTTTGTTTAACTAAAACTCAAAATTTATCTAGTATAATCAAAGTGAACATATACACCACATGGAGTGTTAAGTTTAAGGAATTAAGGGTATAGTCATATTTACTTTCGTTTTACACTAATATACTTAGTACAAGTTTTTTAACACTATTTGTTATTCTTCTAGTTGAATTTAATCCTCTAAAACAATAACCAACACAAGAAGTGGCAGATAAAAAGCTGCGCTCCAAGCCTATGTAACCGACATTTGTACATGTAATATTACTAAAAGTTCTTCCCAATTACTCCTCCTGTCTCTGAAAAAAATTTCCCTTTCATTTTTTCTTTGTCTCCAAAAAAACTTTCTTATCTATTCCCTCCGTCACCCTGTATTCGTCCACATTTGACTTTTGGAATTATTTATCTAAGCACTTTGACTCATCAAATACTCTCAATGTGTAAGCCCAAATATAGTCATGTGTGATCTTGTTTGATTTGTCTTAACATATAGATTATTAATATATAATTTCTATAATTTTTTAATATACAAAGTCAAGGATATCTTTGTAAAGTCAACACAAAAATATCTCTCCCTTAATCCTCAAAAGGTCAATAAGGGAACTTCTTTTGGGGACGGGGGTGGGATTATTCAAACGGTCAAATTTTTCAAACGTTCTTTCATTATTAAATGAAGATGATCCCTTTTTAGGTATTTTGTAGAAAAATTCATAACAAATAAAATATTTTTTGGATAAATTATAGAGAGAATAAGAATATGTTGTGTGTGATTGTTTTTAAAGAATAAAGGGTATATATGGTTGGAACAAAATTTAAAATTGGTCAACAGTCATTTTTCAACCGTTGGGGGGGGGGGCAACGTCTTCGGATGCAACAAAGCTATCTCAAACGTGAGTGGAGTGGCATATCTTTTACTTATATATTTTACTCAACGAGTGGCACGTGAGTGGAGTGGCATGTCTTGCTTTAAAATTTAAAGCAATATATATATATATATATATATATATATATATATATATATATATATATATATATATATATATATATATATATATATATATATATATATATATATATATATATATATATATATATATATATATATATATATATATATATATATATATATATATATATATATATATATATATATATATAT